AGGGAGGATGCCCACAGGAATATATCAGTTGTGGGCACAAAATAAATGTCATGGGACTGTAACAGGCTGGTTAACTTTATTCTCTTTAAACTGCTACATTTTCTGAAATTTTCACCATAGACAAATAGGGTTTTAATAACAAAAATTGCAAAAGGACTAGAGGACAATGGCTCCCTACAAAAGTTGTGAGCTCAGGGCTGATGGCTGGATAGTTCAGTCAGAAGAGGAAAGATGAAATGGATCTTCTGAATCACACAAGATCTGATCTGAATCTTCTGAACATTTATAAAGACATGTTCACAAAGTGAAAGATGACTCAGGGGCACGAGGTACACCCTGCGTACAGGCAAGGGGGGGAGTAACGTGCAGGAGGAGAACGGACTGAGCAGAAAGGCCAATTAGGAGTATGGCTCATTCATCCAATAACGTAGTGCCAAATTCTGCACCTGTAACAAATGATGAGCAAGAAAAAGGGACACTGCTTTTTTTGGAAGGTTAAAATCTGGCACATTGGTGAAATAATCCAGAGGGTAATACAACATCTGGCCATTTCTTCTTTAAAAAAAAATTATATATAAACTGAGCACGGTGGCTCAAGGCCTATAATCCCAGCTGAGGGGAGGCTCAGGCAGGTAGATCATCTGAGCTCAGGAGTTCGAGACCAGCCTGAGCAAGAGTGAGACCCTATCTTGTAGTCCCAGCTACTCAGGAGGCTGAGGCAAGAGGATCACTTGAGCCCAAGAGTTTGAGGTTGCTGTGAGCTATGACACCATAGCACTCTACCTGGGGCAACAGAGTGAAACTTTGTCTCAAAAGAAAGAAAGAGAGAGAGAAAACTAAACACAAGTTTTAAAAAACACCACCACCTGTGAATGTTTTCCACTTTTCAATTGTTTGCAAACCTCTTCTTTGAAGTCTTTGTCTAAAGTGTAACTGACACCCACTCCCACTTTTATTGCCATTGCCATAGTCTGAGTCATGAGCAGCCCCCTGGGACACTGGTCTGGGTCTCTGGACTTGTGTGAAGAAGATGAAGAAGGACTCTAGAGAGTAACAGTAAATGTGACCTTAGGGGCTAACATCAACATGTGATTAAAACTTTAGGAGTGTGCATGCATACTCATGGGGAGGGATGTAAGAGGAAGGATGGGGACAAAAACCTGCTATAATTGTCACTCTTGGGCTAGGGACTCATCTCAAAGTTGGAGAATATTGAGACACGTGGGTCTATCTTGTTTTTGATCTTAGAGGAAAACCAAAAAAGTGTTCACACAGGTCCAGTTGTAGACAAGCCTAACAACATATTTCACAGCAATATTTCCAGTAATTCTGCAGCTACTTTTGAGTGCCTCTGCTGTCCTAGGTGCTACAAGAAATAGAAGATAAATAAGAAGAAAGTTCTTACAGATTTCAAAAAATATGTACAACTACATCAATCAAAAACTGCAATCTCTTTCACTTTACTGTGATCAAAATCATTTTTTCGACTCTCAAGTAGAGACTTATGTGTAAAGATGTATGTGTCAAACACAACTTGCTAGGACTTATTTAAATAACCACTGCTAGGATATGTTGTTCAAGTTCAATGAATTTGATACCACTTAACTTCAATTAACTTGGAACTTCTAGTATTAGAAAAATAACTTTAATACTATCACCCACTGAATCATTAATATTATCAAAGATCCACTCCCAGCTCCTGTTTTTAGAATGAGATGTTATGCAAAACTATAGATCAGTGGTTCTTCCTAATGCCACAACCCTTTAATACAGTTCCTGTGGGTTGCAACCCACAGATTGAGAACTGCTGCTATAGATAAATAAATATTACAAAGAAAGCAAGGAAGACTTTGTGTCTTCAGATATTGAACAGTGAATGTAAACTTTTGGGCAATTTAGATAATTTAAATTTTTTTTTCTGGTTAGCCTTTAAAAAAAATATAGATGGAGTCTCTCCGTGTTGCTCAGGATGGTCTTAAATCCCTGGCCTCAAGGGATACTCCCTACTTGGCCTCCCAAAGTGCTGAGATTACAGGTGTGAATGACCATGTTCAGCATCTTAGTTAGTTTAAGAATTAAAAACATGTGGTCTTTTAGGCTTTAAGTTGAGTGACTTATCAAAAACGCTTTAAATTGAGTGACTTATTAAAAATACTTAAAGGAATACCACAGTCTAGAAGTTAGAGATGCAATATTAAGATCTGGTAGTTAAGACTCCAGCCTAGAAAGTAGAACTAGACTGATGGGGTTCAAACTTCAGCTTAGCCACTTGCCAGTGTGTGACCTGCCTTAAGTTGCGTAAGTCCTTATATGTTTCAGCTCCCTCATCTGCAAAATGTAGGTAACAATAATACACACTGTATGTGACTGTTGTGAAGACTAAATCAATAAGTACATGTGAAGTGCTTGCCCAGGGAGACACTTAGTGAGTTTACTCGCCTGTGAAGACCTGCTACCCCTGACACCAGTGCCTCAGACTGTACAATAAAGAGATCGCACACAGAGAAATGGCTCAATACATATTTTACTCACTGAACAAGTATTTGTGAGTGTCTAGATCTTGCCTATGTTCTAGGGATAAAACCAAGGAGAGCAAGATAAGTTTTAAGGTACTTTCATTTGAATGAAGTAAACTGATGATAAACCCCACATGTATAAGTGATATTATTATTAAGTACTTTGAAGAAAAAGAAAAGTCAAAGAGATGGAGAGCAATGGATGATGACGCTGGGACATGCTGTTTAGGGGAGTGGTTAGCACTTTCTTCAGATTCATATTTTCACAGAGACATGCGTAGATAGAGTGGATGACAGGAAACTCAACAAGGGAGGCAATTCTAGAAGGTGAGAACAGTAGAATAAAAGACATGAGGCAGAACTAAATTCAGGGCTTCAAGAGAAAACAAAAGGCCAACGTGGTGGAGAAAAGTGAAATTTAATTTTTGGAGATGAGGGAGGAGCAGTCAGATAATTTTTAATTAATAACAGATACATTCGATGACAACTGAAATGATGTAACATCATGCTAGAAATACCTCAAGGAACAAAATCTTACAGCGATCAGGGGACATGACTAGATACATTTGTAAATAGGATTGTAAAAAATTGAGAGGGACTTTTTTGTTTGCACATGATTGAAACCAAGAAGAGCTAAGTAACCTGGTTTCTATAAGAAACTTCAAAGAGAGGCCCAGAATTTGGGCCAGAGACTGCCTCAGCCTGGCTGTAGGACTGTGTGTTTCTTTTTTTCTTCTTTTTTTAATGAAATGATAGCTGTGTACATTAATGCAATCATGGGGTACAGTGTGGTGTTTTCATATACAATTTGAAATACTTTCATCAAACTGGTTAACATAACCTTTATGTCATTTTCTTATTGTGTTAAGACGTTTATATTCTACTTATAGAAAGATTCACTTGTACCCTTGTAAGATAAACCATAGAGGTGATCCCTCCAATCACCCTCCTTCCACCCACCCACCTCCTCCCACCTCCCCTCCCCCTCCCCATATCCTTAGGCTATAATTAGGTTATAGCTTTTATATAAAAGCTATATAAATTAGTTTCATAATAGGGCTATGTACAAGGATTGTGTGTTTCTGTGAGAAGAGGCTGGCCGCTCGTCCCTCGGTTGCTGGCCGCCCTGCTGGGCACACAGGTCCTCACGGAGGTGCCCTTAACTTGGTGTGGGGAGCGTCTTCTCAGGGGCCTTGGGAATTTGGCACCTGAAGTTTGGGAACCACTTGTGCTTCAAAGACAATTTCTGAGGGAGAGGAGCTTGCTTGAGTCGCTCACACCGACAGAGTAGAAAGAAACGCAGGTTAGAGTTTGTTCCTGGCAGCAAACATTTTTCTTTCACCCCATCCTAGTGGCTCTGGAGCCTTTAGGAGACGGTCCCGGAAGTCATCAGGCTGCGCGCAGAGCAGTGCGCAGGTGGGGAAAAGGCAGGTGTCTGAGGGGGGAGTCAGGGGCATGGACTGGTGCTGTGGGCAAAAGGAGATGTGGTTGTGTTTCCGTGAGGAGTTCCTCACCGAGTGAAGCCAGGACCACGCGCCATCTAAGGAAAGCCGTGTCGCCAGCACCGAGCTCTCAACACCACCCTCTGGCGGCAGCAGACGAAAGCGGATTGGACCGAAGTCCTGGGATGCTGGTGTCAGACACAGCTGGCTGTGTACCATCTCTGCCTCGCTTGTCTCCCCTGGGGACCCCCCACATAAGAGGAGCTTGTCAGTGGGGAGAGAGAAGGAATGTCTCAGAGTCAAACCTCCTTTCAGCTTCTCTGCTGCCAGCAGCCAGCGCCACAAGCTGTGTGAGCGGAAGGGAGGGGGTTCTGTTCACTGTAGCTTCACAACTGAAATTTTAAACTGGATAAATGGAATTCTGAAAGCTAAAGTTAGTAGAATTTATGGTGCATGCCAAGATTTTATTAAGGAATATGAGAAGGAGGTTTGATACATCATGGCTGGAAGCCTTGATCAGAATAAAAATGACACTATTTGGTGATCATGCTGGTGTTGAGACGCTGCATACAAAGACGCTGGCCGGACAGCCAGGCCCACGGCACCAGACGCGCCGAGTCTACCAGGGAGTCAAAAGTGCACTCATCTAAATCATGGAATTTTACTTGATGAAAGGGTAAAATTTCATCTAGTTCTTCAGTTTTGACAAAGTATAGATTTTTTTAGCTGATTCTTCAGTTGACAAAGTGCATTGATCTCTCCATCAGCAGCAAGCAACCCACTCCCCCAGACCTCCGTGGGCTGTGGACTCAGGTCATGTCCTGTTCCCTTTCTTTCTTTCTGTTTTTGGTGGGGGAACAAGTTGGTTCTGCCGGTGAATTGTTCACATTCTGACTTCTATGGCCAGTGTCCTGCTTTCCATTTCTGTCTCTATAAAGTTCTCCTGACAGAAGTAATATTTTAGGGAGTTGGTCTAAAGGAACAGGGTATTGCTAGTCTAGCTACTTAGAATTTTCCTTTGAATTAAGCTGGACTGGCGGAAATGTACAAACATGACCTTATAAATGCATCTGCTTCAAAAATTGTCACCAGTGTCAACTTCAAGTGAGATTCTCAGTCTTCTTTGAATTTACTGTTGACCCTTCACCAACACGGGCTTGATACGTGTGGCTCTACTTACACATGAGTTTTCTCAACCAACAGTGAATGGAAAATATGGTCCTGAGGGATGTGGAGCTTCCATGCACAGAGGACTGACTGACTTGCCACTGCAGGTCCCCAGGGCAGACTACTGGACTTGCCAGGTACACAGATGTGGGTGTATGTGTGCGTAGGGTTCTGGAACCAATCCCCTGAGTGTGACTGTATTTATAAGAAATAGTTCTATGAATTAAAACACACTTTTTTGGTAAAGATATTGTGACATTATTCAATGCATTGCTGAATGTTATCTCCATTTGAGAAATTTCTTCATCAATTTGGCAGCAGGAGAACTTCTCTGTTGATGTGTTTCTTTCTTTTAAGTAATGCGAATTGTAAAACTTTCTAAGTTCCCTTTGTTATTCTTGCTACCAGGAAGTTCAAAGCCAAATCTTCAGTTCTATTAGCCTCTTATACGATGTGTAGAGCATAGCTGCATTTTTACTTTTTCTTGCATGTGATCCCTATTTTATCAATTTATTGCATATTTTGAGGGCATGTTTATTTATAAAGAGATAAAGAATAGGTAAATAAGTTTGTCCATATCCCATTAAGAGTCTGTTCTGAAGAGTGATCCCTCATAATGAAATTAATCTTAGAAGTGTTTTTCAAAGAATAATTACAAAAAAAATCTGTTTGGCACTTAAACTAGGCCCAGAAGTGTCATCTTCATTTATTCACCAAACTAATATTAGCCTGTCTCTATTGTACATACCAATAAATTGAAAATAAAATAATTGTTTTAGCATTATTATTGTCAGTTAATTCCTTATCTCTGGTTTTTATTATATGTATCATAATGTGTTACACAGCTTAGGAGATCCTCACATCAATGCCCAGAAAAATTATCCACAGCATCATGACAATATCTCTTATTGGTTGCAAAGCCTCTAATAGAGAAATACAGAAAACAGATTGTGTTTTCACTGTGAATGCAGAAAAGGAAAATCAGAAGCAGAGTAGTGACAACTTATTTTCCAGCAGAACTTTTACATAATTTCTCCTTAATGAGATAGAGACAAAAGGTAATTAATTATATTGACATTCTTGGTTTTCTCAAGTTAACAAAACTAAGGCACATGGGAACCTTCAAAACAGTAAATGATAAGAAGGAACGGACTCTGAAATGACAACAGCTGTGTTTACCCACATCAGTTCATTCTTGTCTGACAATATTGGCCCGTCTGTAACATATTTCCCAGTAAACTGACCAATGAAAGGATGGCTTCAGCACGATAGCGACATAACCCAGGTATAACTAGAAGGGCTTCTGTAACTCAGTCAGTTTGTTAAAGTAGGCATTCACGTATTACCAGTCATAAAAGAACTTGGTACAAGCCAGGGGATGTTCCAACAATGTTGAAAACCCCCCATGAACAGCTACATTGCCCTACACCTCTGTAGCTTAAGGCCACTGGATGCCCCATTGCTATGATACTGCTGAATGCAGAAAGGACCACGTAATAATTTGTTGGCTTATAAAAATACCTGTGGTCAAGTTGCTGTTGTACTTGTTATGCAACATAATGTGTTGAGGGTTTCCAAGAGACTCAAGTCCACAAACACCTTTTCCTGACTCTGCTTCTGCCATTGCACAGAGCAGCACAGGGAAGACAGACTGATAGATTCATACACAGGAGAAGGGTAACTGAAAATATTTTCTTCATGTCACAGTTTAGGACAAAAGAATTGGAGAAAAAAATTATGATTTCAACAAAACAGCAAAGAAGTATTTGAATGAAAGACAAACTTTTGCTCTGAGATCCATTTTTTTCTCTTACAGATCAACTAATTTTGAAATGATTCACTTTGCTTTTATATCTTACTATTCCAAGAATAATTGTCTAAGAAATGCTTCAATACACAGAATGACTTCTCTCGAGTAGAGTAACCAACGCTGTATGTAGAATGACCTCCTACGAGTGGAGAGTAACCAATGTTGTACATAGAATGACTGCTCGAGAGTAGACGCACCTGCTATTAATCAGTGTTAATTGCCTTATTGACCAGAATCAAAAGGGCGTACGGTTCTAGAGCTGCACTCAATCTGCTTCCACATATGGGGTTCTTGAGTTACTGCTAGAGTGATTCTAATTCTTGGTAGCCCAACCCCATACTTTACCACAAATCTTAACTTTGGCATCTGTTCAGGAGAGCCATTGGCTAAATGGAATGTGCAGAGGAATTAAACAGGATTTACTTGTTTTCTTTATGGTGATTTTTAACACTGGTCACACGTAGCCCCTCCTGCCTCCCTCCTTCCTCCTGTCCTTTTCATGTATATTTTTGAGAGCCCATATGTGCCAGGAATAGGGTTTCTGTCTGTTAAGAATTCACAGTCTAGTGGAGGTGAGATATAATTAAGCAGAAATTCTAGAATAATGAGGTAACTGTTACAACACTATGACAGCACTGGTTTATGAGGATTAGAAAAGGCAATTTAAAAATTAAACCTAATACAAACAGATATTTGCATACAGAGAGTGAACACACATTAAGAAAATACATATTATTTGCTTTCCAGAAATAAGATAGTAGTGACTTGATGACAGCTGACATGTCTGTCTCCAGTATAATGAAGAAATATACTGTCTCAGTTGGTAATTAATATTTGTAAACTAACTCGACTTTTCTAGAAAAATAATGGCACATAACTATAAACGTTAGTGCTTTTCTAATTTCATGCATTTTCAAAAACTAATATAGTTAATGCAAAAATAAAACTTATATGCAGATGAAATGAAAAAATGTGTCAGATTAGTTTAGAAAATGAGGGTCTTAGTTCTGGTTTGTCAGTTCATCAATCATGTAATTTTTGCCCAAGCAATTTCACTTAGCTAAACCTCATTTTCTTTACTAGAAATGTGAGGAGACTGAGCAAGATAGTTCCAAAATTTCTTTCTAGACTTGTGCATTTGATTTCTAAAAATCTAGTTTATGCCAATATTTTAAAAATAAACATATTTTAAAACAATAGTGTTGAAGTTCCCACTCCTACAAGTGCTTACAGTTTATTTTGCTCTCACTCCTTGTAAAATTTGTCTTTGTCCTAGTCATCACACAGTCCCCACCATGCTAGTCAGGACTCGTCCAACTGGTTCTGCTTAGATCATCAGTGACTTCTTTCTCCACCTCAGTTGGCCCAGGATCACTGATGGGGCTGGATGTGCACCTGTCTGCACCGGGCACCTGTCTTCACTGGACGCTCCGAGCGGCTCAGCCATGTACCGGTGAGCTCCTTTGCCTCTGTCTTTCGGCACCTGGTAGCTTAAAGTGGCATAAGCCACAACAAAGGGTGTGTAGATCTTCAGTTTGTTACTATTTTTAATATAAAAAAATTTTCGAGATTTTACATGAAGTTATGTCAAGAAACAGATTCCTACTCCTTCTGTGTCACTTCCATCCTTTTGTGCTCTAGCCACAGTGATTTCTGGTAGATTTTCCAAAGCCTTCAACTAAATCTAAGGGCACGTGGCGTTCAACAGCTGTCCTTTAGTAAGTTTGTTTGTTTCAAGAAAAACACAATGTATTTTCACTTGGGCTTTATTTGTCTTAGAAATACTTTTATTTCAGAAAGTATACAAGTGAAAAAAATAAATGTAAAATTATGCAGATCAAAAATGTGTTTATTTCTGCACATGGTTTAAAGTTTAAAGATTGTAAATGTTTTGCAAGAATCAGAAACAATGAAAGAAGATAGTATAGCTGAATTATTATGTCGGATTTTAAAAATAAATCTACTGATGTGCCACCATCAACTTCTCTAGTAGGTTGGTCATAATCATTCTTAGGTTGTTTTCTTTTAGGGTTAGAAATGAACTAGTAGCAAGGTTTCAGCATGCTAATTTTGAGTATGAAAATCATCTTCGGATTAAAATTTATTTCCTCTGATTGACATATTGGCATATCATTTTTTATTAACTTCTGCTTGAAGAAAAGAGTTTGAAAAATGTTAACTCCCAATGAAATCTGTGGTCTTCATTTAATAAGGAAAAGCAGCTGGGTCCTGTCACTGACAGGAAGTTCCACATACTTGCTAGAAGTTTAATATTCCTGTACGTGTTGTTGAACCCACGGCTAAGAGCTACTGATACTAACAAATCTGGTCAGACACATCAAGCCTCCCTGTCTTGGCCAGGCTTCCTTTGCAAAACATGATTTTGTGGCTTGCCTCTTCCCCCTCGTTTTCTCTAAGAATGCTACTGTAGGACACAGTGCTTCAGGAAAGCTTCTTCCAAGCGCAACACACTGGAAGCCTATGTCTATGCTGGGTCTGAGTGAGTTGAAGTAGTTCTGAACTAACAGAGGGGCTGTAATGTGGGAATATGGGTGTGAATTTCCCTGAGTGTCACCTCTAATTCAAAGCAGACAATATGCCTGGTTTTCAAAGTCCTACTTCAGAGTAGGTGCAAGTTACCTCTCAGGGAAGAAAAACAAGCAAACAACCCTCACCGCCCCCGCCCCCCAAATTCCACTAGCTGATGAATGGAAACATCTTCCTGAGCTGGAGATTGTATGAAGGATGAAGCACATTGGTGTTCATGCAGGTCTAGATGGGATTAAGGGTTAAGGAATGGGCCGGAGTGGAAAAGGGATTAAGTTTATTACTCACGCTTGCTGCTGTGAGTGTGCCAACAGGAGCGCTCTCAAGAAAGAGATATAATTGGAATAATGGGATGTAAGTAGATAATTTCCTTCTGAGGACATTGGTTTACAGCTAGGAAAACATGTAAGGAACACGTGGGAAGTTCTATTAAATAGCTCATCCCTCTTTAGTTGCCTGAATAAGAATCACTTTTGTTTAAAATTTAAGGGTGAGAAGAGATTTGGAGCAGATAAGCATCCTTCTTCTTATAAGTATGCTGCCATTTTTCTCCACACGCATATTTTATACTATTCTTTGA